CTGTAACACACAGCAGTGGAGTGAAAATCTTGGGAGGTTTGCCCCAGTTTTTAGGATTTTGTCCCTGACCGTCATACTCCGAATCTGCTGGGTGGATGCACCAGGGTCAGGCAGGGAGGAGCTTGCCTGGTGGAGCAGTTTTGGGAGTCCCACTGGTTGGCTCTCTGTGAATACCTTTGAAAGCCTGGCCTTGAGGCACCGGCTTTTTTCCATCGACTTAAAGTGTCTCTGCGTGAGGCCGCTCCCTGCAGCTCCGCACCAGCTGCTGCTCTCTGCAGCTGCTTGGGAAGATGAAATGAGACCCCATTTTTAGAGGTCATGAAAAAGAGCGCAGATACGTTTCTGCGCAGGAAGGTGCTTTGCTGTAGAAATGCTGAACTTGGAGCCATGGGCAAGCACAGGAGCCATCGTGCCTGCAAGTCCCCAGCATGGCAGCGCTCGGGTTTCAGCGGCAGTGGAGGCACAGCTGCCCTCTGCGTGTGGAGCCACCCCACACAGAGGGGGACGCCAGCAGCACAGCCAGTCTGTCCGTAACCACTGGCATTGACAAAATTGATTTCTGTGGTTTGAGAGCAGCAGGACAGATTTCATCTCTGGTGGGTCTCCTGACACTTTGATACATGGCAGTGCTATCCCTGAATGGAGCTAAATACTCCAGGGCTACTTTCTGACTGGGTGAAGGGATGTATAAAATGAGAACGTATGAGAGAGTATTAACAGAAAGGCACACTTTGATTTACTGATACTGGCTTCCAGCTTTCTTGGTGGATTGATATGCTGTCTACTGGATCTGGAACAACTTTTTCACTCCTGTACACAAAATGAAGGGGCTCCCATGGACTCTTAAAAGTGACTCTTACAAGTTAGCGTCTCACTGCAGACACTCTGAGTCCCATTTAAGCTGGAAGTTATATTCAAACCACGTTTGCTGTGTTCTTGGAGCAGCTGCAGATGGATCCCACTCAGCATCCTTTTTTCTGTCCCAAAGGGCAGCTTTAGGAAAGGTTTGATGGAAAGAGGGGTTGTGTGTTGTCCTGGGATTAGTTGGCCTCTCCTATACACAGAGTATGGGTGGTTGTTTTGGGGATTTTACTTGTTCATACTGAAATGGCATGAGGGGATCCAGCTCCTTTTGTTTTTTAAGGCAGTGCTGAGCCATCTGTCCTCAGAAAACACAGGTTGGACATGCAGAAGTAACTGCTGGAAAACGAGATAGTTTGGAAGTTTTTCTCTCTGATGGTGTATAGCCCAATGTTAAAGGTGTCAGTTGTGACACTGATGTTGATAGAAGGTAGAGTATTTACCCCAGCACGTTGCAGTGCAGATTGTAAGAGAGATGCAGCAAAGTTGCTGGCGGAGAGTGGTAGAGAATGAGTGGGAGAGGCACAGACTGGGGTTAACTGGGGCGATGGGCTGTGCCTGCAAAGTCAGGTCTGGAGAGTTTTACATTCCTCAACTTAACAGTTGCTTTTGCAGTGCTGTGCCTGCAGTCACTGGCCACTGCTTGGTGCGCTGGACTGGGAAGGGGCAGCTGGGGATGTGTAAGCGTCTGTAGTTGGCTGAACACAATAGAGCAACACAATGGCAGAGTTAGTATATTAGCTCTGGGAATAAGTTGTTGGCATCGGGATCTTCCCGCTGGTGCATGAGTGGTGGGAGGGTAGTTGTAGAGCTTTAACAGCATTGTTTCAGCCTTGGCCGGGTTGTGGTGCTTGTGAAAACCATAGTGTCGGTATCTTCTTGATCCTGAAAGCTTTAGAAACTGAAAATCATCAGGCACTACCTCGGACCTAACACAGCTCGTGGCAACGGGAGGCCCCTGCTACATGGTCAGGGTTGGCATTGCCTGCGCTCTTAGCGGTACTGCCGGCTTTGTTGTGTGAACAGAGCAGGGAAGGGAGCAGGAGGTACAAACCCGATGGTTATCACATGTGAAAGCTGCTAGTTTGTTTCCTTAATGTACTGGCATGCTTGAAAGCTCCATGTTTGTGATTCTTTTCTGTTTAATTGTCTGTTTCAGACAAGGAGCAGCATTTAAAAAAAAAAAAAGTGCCGGGAGGGGGTAGGAGAGCAGGAGGGTTAGCGTCCAGCTTTCTGTCAAAATGACATAGTTTGCATCTGTGTAACAGTTTTGTTTTACGCTGCCTTCATTCACCAATGGATTCAGTCTTTTCCCCAAAGCAGACGGTGGAAAGGCAGATGAGGGCATTAGAGGGAAGAGAAGATGAAGAAGGAGAGGAGACTGGGAAGAAAAAGAGTCCCTTCTGGAATTAAACGTGTAACGGATAGGGCAGGGCTGGATGGGAAGAGAGCAGGGGAGGGGGACACTTGGCTTCTGAAGTTGAGTTTACAGCACACTTAAGCACCCAACAGTACAATAAGAATGCCATCCAATAATGCTATTAAATACACATGAACTGAAAGCACAGAAATTACCCAGCTGTAAGAGGCTCATGATGAAGCCAGTGTCTGGAATAATTAGCCCTCCCACCTGGTTAGACGCATGGTCATTGTCTTCCCTGCCCTCTCCATCCCCTTCACTCCAAATAAAATTGCTCGCCATCCCCACTTCTGTTGGGGTCCGTGTCTCATGGCCTGGGGGAGCTTGAGCCTGTCTGTATGCCTTGCCTGCTTGCTGTGGCCCTGATGTACCCCAGAAGGGCTGGAGTGCTCCTCCAGCTGTAATTGACAGGATCAAAGCTGCCTGGGGTGCGTTAGCACTGCTGCTGGAGAATAGGCAGCGGGTAGAAAATAAACAGTTTCGGAGGCTCTGGGGACATTTAGCTGTGTTGCAGGCAGTGGGAAAGATTTTGCTGTTGTAAGCTGTGCACTCAGGCTAGGGTGGGAGCACTTCCCTTTTGCAAGTGATGCTTTAGGTGCAGACATATACAACAAATGCATTTTTAAGGGCTTTTGTCCGTTTGTCTCTTGGAATTGTTTTGATGCTAACATATGACTGTTCTACAAGCACGGCAAACCTAATCCGTTAATAGGTTTATATAGAAGAGTTCTCAGAACGTATCTGTAGTGAACTGTGGGCCAGCGGAGGATGAGTCCAACAGCTGATCTGCCACAAAAATCTTAAAGCATCTTCTCCTTGACATTCCTGTTGCTGAGGTTAGGCTGTAATTTATCTGAAGGTAGTGACAACTGAGCGGTATCACAGTGGTAACATGCGGGAGATTGAGACCTCTGAATGTCTCGGCTGATTTCTGCTTGCACTGTCTCTGTCTGGCTGATGAAGATTTGCTGTTTGCTGTACATATGATCTCTGCGTCCTCATTGAAAAAAAGAAAGAAAGAAAAAAAAAATGGGGTGGTGCAAAGTTCTCTCCATTCTTTTGTACTAACTACAAAGCAAGAAACATGTTTGGGAGTTAAGCAGAACAGCCCTACTGACTTCACGTTAGTGGAGGAACTGGCAGAGGGGGCACCAGGGGAAGCTCTGGGGAACATCCCACCACTGCAGTGCTGCTCCTGCCCTCCAGACAAATCCACATGCCCTGTCAGCCAGCGTGACTGCTGCCCGCAAGGATGCTTGTTCTGGGTGTGCGAGGAGGGAAGCCAAGCCTCTGTGAATGTATCCTGCAGGAAAACAGATCCTGAAGTGGTGTGCTATGTTCCTCCAAGTGGTGCATTTTTTCCCCTTTCTGTGGTGCCTCTTTGTATAAGTAGAAGGCAATACACCAGTGTCAGGTAGATATAAATTAATCTGTGTAAAGTTCAGGTTAGGTTTTTTGATAGAAGCGTGCTAAGTGTTTTACCTGTAAGAGCTGACCCTGTGATTGATGTGTAGCAATGTACAAAGGGAGAGTTTGTGTAGGCCTAGATAAACACTTGTTTTATATCGGAGTGTTCTGCAGGGAGGCTTGTTGGTTGCCACAAAAGAACTATTTTTAAAGAACAGATGCTGCAGCAGTGTGCAGTTAACCCTTCCCACAGTCAGCTGCAACTGTGTGTCCTTGGAGAACATGAGGTCATTGAACAGAGATCATTTTCTCTGCATAGATACAGGAAAACGGTCAGCTATGAAAGCCTTTGGATACACAGCATCAAATCTACATTCAGGATTTGTGTCTGGAAATACCCTGGAAAGCAGCTACTCACCCCTGTAAAACGAACCTTCACGCCATGCATTGATCATTTTGTACATCTCTCCAGACCAATCTTTTCTTCACTTTCTCTCCTTCTAAGGATCTCTGGGCCTGCAGAGATCTGATCAGAATGGGCCTTTTCTGATCAGAATCCTCTCATTAAACTTGTCAGGTCATTGTTTCAGTTTCCCCTATAGATCAGATCTTGCTACATTTAATTTTACTTACAGTCTAATTTCTTACACCTCCTACGTGGTGAGCACAGCAGCACAGAAACCAGTGGTAGTCACAGCCCTGCAGGAGTTTTCGTTTTTCTTCTTGCCTTCCCTCCTTCTGCTCCCTATAACATGCATGTTACATACAAGAAAGAAGTCAGAGATCAGGTTTAGATGGGATATATTACATTTTTCCCTTGTGTTGCTTCATGTTATTCAACTGAAGCTGGCCTCTGCTGCAGAACCTAACGCAGGAGAGAAATGAGTTAGTCAGCAAAAAAGGTTGTTGTCATATGCATGTGTCATTAGACACTTCTGCACACAGTACTTGCTTCTTCAGTATGTTAATCCTTCAGGCTCTGCAGTCTGAATGTTTGTAGGTGAAACATTAGATCAGTGTACTCCCGATGTGCAGCCAGGCAGATGTTTAGAAGGCAGTCCTCCCTCCCTTCCTCCCTTTCTAGGAAAGAAGTGTTCTTTCCCAAGCGTCATGATGTTTGACATTAACAACTATAAATCAGTTTGAAGATAAAACCACATCTCTAACTGGTTAGAGGAAAACAGTTAATGGGACATGCGGTAGCTGTGGCAGGAATTCAGGTTCAAGATGAGAAACTAAGCGCTGCAAAGCTAAGTCTTCACCAGAAGCAAGGATCGGTGGGAAATTTTCACTTGTATCTCTTGTTCTGCAGGCTGTAAAGCCCTGGAGGCATTGCTGAAAGTATTAGTGGAACTTCAGGATGAGCTACTTTATCAATACCCGGGCACAAGGCATCTGGTGGATGGAAAGCAATCAAAAACTGAGAGGTAAATACAAAATAAGACAAGACCTTTTTGAATCCTTTGGTCTCCAACTCTCCAACAAACAGGACAATGTACAGCCTTCCTGACCATACTGTGCTGTTCTCTTAGTTGCTGCTATATCTGGGTGACAGACACGCTGTACAAATGGCCATTTGAATTCCTTCTGCCAGTGTTGGAAATGTGTTTTGTAATCTTTCTGCTAACAGAGCAGGGGCTAAACCACGGGTCTATTGGCATAAATATCACCGTGGTGTGGAAAAAGCATGTATGGTAGTGGAGGGGCCATTAAGAATTCACACGTCGCCTTAGAGAGGTGTAGGGTGTTTAGTCTGCATATTTTTGTTCTAGCGATGATGAAATCCCTAGCAGTAGCGATGAAGAGCAAGTGGATAAGGCTCAGGAGAAGAGGAGGAGCCTCCCCAAACGAAAGCTAAAGATGGAGGACTACCCAGAATTCATAGCCAAGCGGTATGCTGACTTCAGGACGTATCGGAACAATGTCTTGCAGAAGTGGCATGACAAGACAAAGCTGGCATCTGGCAAAATGGGAAAGGCAAGTCGTTGTTTATGTGTGCTAACATGCTTATTGTTTAGTAGAACAAGCTGATTTGAAAGTTTCATACCATGGATGTTCCAAGTTAAGCTGAGAGTTAACAGCAGTAAGAATTAAATACACAGGAACACAATTTTCCCCAACTTTAAATGCGTTTGGAGAGAATCTCAGCCCTCAAATTTCAAAGTCATAAGCTGCTCTCTTTTGTTTTGAGCAGATGGCCAGGAAAAAAATTTTCAGGGGCAAATGGTTTTCCAGGTTTGGGGAAAAACTCTTGTATAGTATTGATGTTCTCCCAACCAGACATCTTGTCATAGCCAGTCTCCAGCAGCAAGAAAGCTCTATGAAAATGCCACTATTGTGGATCAACAAGCTGTTTGTGTTTTGTAACAGAACTAGGGGTTTCTGGGGCTCTCCTCCTCCATGAAGTGTACACTTTAATACAGTGGGTAATCATTTCACCGAAACATCCAGGGTCTCCTAACATCTGTGAGTTAGTATTAATGACTGGGAAGTTCATCTGAACCAGAACAGCAAAGGCATTTTATTAAGCCAGGCGTCAGGTTGCCTCAGGTTGGGAAGGGAGAGAGAAGGAGCAACAAATAAAAAAACCTAGCAAAAATCCCTGCAACGAAACCCAAACCCCCTCCTCTTGGAATGCTGTCTGCTTATCCACTGACATGGAAAGATAGAGGAACGTTGCTGCCTTGAGGAAAAGCTTGCTGCATTATCTGACACTAGTTAATGTTGTTGCAGGGTTTCGGTGCCTTTGAGCGTTCAATCTTGACTCAGATTGATCATATTATGATGGACAAAGAGAGATTACTACGGCGGACACAGACCAAGCGATCAGTGTATACAGTGCTGGGAAAGCAGGAACAGGAATCTCATCCGGTCCCTGAATCTTTGCCTGAAAATTCGGTAAGGGTATTTTGTTTATATGATTCATCCTGTAAAAACAGTGAAACTCTCTGCAAAACAATTAGCTTGAGCCTTTAGCAGGTGATTCTTGTTTGTGAGAGATTTATGAAAGAGATATCTGAGTGTTAATTCCTGTAATGTAATGGCTAAGAAAAAGATGTAGACATTTCAATTCCAGTTTTATGGTGTTTGCATTATCTCCTGTGCCAGTTCCTGACAGGGGAAAACAAGGTTTGGTCTGTGATTGTGCCCCTCCTGTGGTGTAGGAACTGATGCTCACTAAATCTGCTTTTTGAGCTTGCAGCTACAAAACTTTGTTTTTACTGTGGAGTTTAGAATCTTTAACCCAGAAAGTCACTTCTAAAATCATACTGCATATAACCTATAGAATATGTTAGTAGTAAGTCTGTTATTAATTTAGTATTTAAGAATGAATAAATACTCAATTCTGAGAGATCATGTAGAATTACTGCACTTGCAAGACATATTTTTGCCATTACATTAAAAATATCTGTAGTATTTTGCCAGAAAGGCTTTGCACAGTCCTATTTATTTCCCAGTAAAGGTATCATAAATCTAATTTGGCATTGGCAGTGTTTCTGCCTTGCCTTTAAATGTGTTCCTAGTCCTTAAAAGCTTGTTATGTTGGGAGCTTTTCTCCATTCCTTCATATCTTCAAGTGTGTTTACAAGCTGCTGCACGTGATGTCATCAGAGGTAGGGACAGAAATATGCACATACGAGCTTTCAGTATTTCCTTTGTGCTTCTAGGAAGTCCTCCCTCAGTCAGATTCCAACAGGCACCTGAAGGACATAGATGAGGAGATATTTGATGATGATGACTTTTATCACCAGGTAGGTTATGGTAAATGTGTGTGGGAATTATGGCTTCAGTTGGTTTTTAATACTTAGAACTAATGTGGCTGATTCTGTGGTCTAAATATCTCTTACCAGTGAAACTCAGTTACCTGTTTTAACTTCCGATGTATCTCTGTGGATACCTCAGAGGACTTCATTCTCAACTTTCGATATAGGGCTGTGTGAGCTTAAACTTGCAGTGTGGATGTAAAGTTACTGCCATTACTGGCGCTGCTGCATTTGAGTGAGTCAGGGCTGCAGGATAAGGTCTATGCCTGTAGTCCTCGGTGGTGAACATTGCTACACAAGAGAAAAATTACTGAATTCCTTAAGGGTGACTGTTCTCTGTGGGTAGAGTCCCATTATGAAAAACGATTCTAGGAGATCCTCAAAAGCACCTAAGTTACTCATCTCAACCTAAATCACCTCATCTACCTCAGCTGCAGGGCTTCTCTAGCACTTTTCTTGGAGTTGTGCCAGCTTGGATTTAGGCCAGTTATTCTTTTTATTTGCACAAGTCTTAGAAACAAGGAATCTGCACTCAGCGCATGGAGGCTGCAGCTTAGGGAAACCTTCTGTTTGTAATTTCTTTAAGAAATGATGGTGCCAGCTTTATGAAGTACTGAAATTGATGTTTCAGTATATATCGAGGAGTATGATCCACTCTATGTCCTTCCCCAATGCATGAAAAGCTAGTTTTGCTCTGATGGCCCACAGAGAGCTTTAACTTCAGGACTAAACAAATATCATAGTATTAGAAAGGCAGAAACTACTGGTTTGAATAGTTATTAGAGTAGCTAGTAAAGTGTTAGGGCAGTGGAAGAGAGCTGTTGTGATGTGACTGTGCTCTGATAACTGATTTAACCAGAAGCATTTGAATAGTTTCAAAGTTTGGGCTTTCATGTACAGAGCCAGGACTAAAGTTGAATAAAAAGATGTATTAAAATGGTAATTCTTACCTGTGTTTTACGGATAGGAAATACGGGGAACTTTAATGCTGCCTTTTCTTTCCCCTCCAAGAAGATTTTTGACACACTTCCAACCGTACTGCTGTAGAAAATTTTTGCAGTAGACCTTACCTATTGCAGAACTAGGGCCATTTGAATATTTAATGTTTGTGAGGGATCTATACAAGGCAGCCTGCCTCAGAGCCAGGAATGTATTCCAAGCTAGCTCCTCTCCAGGCTGTGTATTCATTGTAAGAGCATCTCTGCTAGTATTGCTGTGAATTGAGCAGCATCTCTTGGGTAGGTGAAGATGCCACGTTCAGCGGTGTAGGCTCTAAAATGGAGGTTGGAGCGTACCTGTCTTGTTGGCAGCAGTGGTTGAAGAGACCAAATCCGTAATGCAGTGAGATAATACTGAGGCAGAATTTGAGGTCAAAGTAGACCAGAAGCCCAGCCTTGGGGGCCAAGTGGACTCTAAGAACACAGAACAGACTAAATTAGTGTAATAAAATAGTGAAGTGGTCGAGGAGAAATAGCTATGGTTGACAATCTGTGGACCTGTGCAAAGAAAGTGCTTATTGGCCATGAAATGTTAAATTTTTAAAAGAAAAATAGCAATAGATGAATGGCCCGTCTTTCCTTCTAATAACTTTAACTTCGGTAAATCGTGATTTCAGAAATATGACTAGTCACAGCTTAGCTTTTCCCCTCACTGGTTAATTGGGGTGCTGGGGTTAATCTAAATTAAAACTTAAACTAATAGAGGTCATTGAGGGAAGAGAGTCACCTGAGTAAAACAAATGGGTCTGCCAGGCACAACTGTATCTTGGCCATTTCCCAAGAGGGAAGTGGCAGCAAATTGGAGTTGTTTCAGCATTCGGTGGAGGTGAAGGATGGGTGACACCGTTTTAATGTACGGCACCTCCGGAAATGTTCCAGATTGCATTCCTTGCTGTACCAACTGCTGCCTTCCGCACACAGTGAATAGGAACAGGACCAGCCAACAACATCTGGCAGCACAGCAAGGAATGGGTGCAACTTTCGAAACCCCATAGACTCTAAATATGGTGCTTAGCCTGGTGGAGGCTTTAATCACTTACCACTCTTTGGCAGCGGGCTACGACAGCTTATCCTAGCCTCGTACATCACACACAGACATCTGCTGAGCCGCGAGGCAGCTACACATTCATTTTCCTTTCTTGCTTGTTTTTTATTTTTTTATCCTTTCCTCCCTCCCTTTCTCCCTTCCTCCCTCCCTTCCACCCTTCTCCTCTCCTCCTGTCCCCAATATGCTTCTTGGGAGAGATGATCTGTAAAGATTACTGCTTCATTGTGTGCAAGTAATTGTGGGGATGCCAGCCCCTTGCCAGCCACCGCACAGCACCTGTTCCGCTGACCTGGTTAATGTCTTCTCTTGAGTGGGATTTGGCAGAGATTGGAGCTGAAGCCAATTCAGTGATAAGGCTAAAGAAAATGGCTGTATGTTTTCTGTCACCTCCCAATTAAATTGGTTTCATAAAGTGCTTTCCTTTATTTGTCAGGGTGGTAAGCTGAAGCTGAGCGTTGCATTCAGCAAGGGTAGAGTGCGTTACAATAGAGCGCTGACAACACAGTGAATGTGTTTTCTTTCAGGTGGGTCATAACTGTGCGGTGCCTTTTCTGTGTGCGTGTGTGCGTGTGGATATACGTATAGATCTATAAAATGTAGAAAGAGAACTGGCTCTTGAGAGGTAATCGGCAGCAACGTCTCTGGTTGTTGGAGATGAGGTTGCTCAGGAACTCTGACCTCTGTGCATAATACTTATCGGAAAGCATATGTGTACATTTCAGTGGGTGCTTTTTTTCTTTGTATTTAAATTTAGATCCAGACTTTTTTAATATCACTTTCTTTTTTCTAAAAAAAACCATTTTATAATGACTATTCTGATTACTGCTTATGGTTTATTAAAGGTAAACATTCAGATAAAGAAGGACCTTGGAAACCAACTTCCTGTATATTTCAGTGCGAAATTAAGCAAGTAAAAATGAACAAGATCTGATGAATGTACACAAGATAACAGAATAAGTAGCTGTACTCTTTTGGTATAGATTATAATACAAAACTTTCTAATGAATCTGGTTTTCCTGTGGAAAAAACATTTTCTTGTCCAAGTCTTGATATTCAGTGGAATTCACCATGTGGGGCTGGTGGAATTTTACAGTGATTGAGGCTTTAACTCTGTTCTGTCTGTTCATCCCACTTTGCCTTTTCTAATATTCTTCACTTGTTTTATAAGCAGTTATAATTTTTATTGTGGTGGCCCATGTTGAATGGTAATGTAAAGCTGAGCTGAATAATGCAAGTGAAATATTTTTATTTGGGTTGCACTGGGTGTGAATAGTTAAACTGTTTCAGAAAGATCCTCATTACTGACAGCAGTGAGAGGCTAGACCCCATCTCCTTTTCTTTTAAACTCTCCTTCATACATGGTTTTAAGGGAAGAAAAAGGCTTTTTATTTTTAGAAGTCATATTTACATAGAATTCATTACAGCTGATATTGCAGCATTGACTTAAAATTCCAGCCTGCTACCAGAGAGCTGCTGGTCTGACATGCTACAGTGGAGATTTTATTATTAGGTTGAAATACTCCTCTAGTAAAGGAGCGAGTGGAAATTGGTTTATTTCCAACAGGAATTAGGTTAGTGTTCATATGCTAAGCGTTCCACTGGTAGCAGCTCTTCCCAGAACAAATGTTCATCATTGATGGCAGCAGGTATGCCTAAGGAGAATTAGGAATATACATAATCCCTTTTTTTCTCCGCTCTCCTGCTCCCTCCTCCCCCTGATTTTGGTTGTGTTGTATGCCACTGCATTTTATAACAACCCGCAATCCTCAGTTTTGTCTGTGATCACCACAACTTCCAGAAGCTGTGCAGAGCCAAAGTGGATGGGGAACGTTCAACAAAATGCTAAAGTCTTTTTAAAAACAGAGACGCCAGGAGTTTGCCAGGCAGGACTGCCAGTAGGTTGGAGAGGACTGTCATCCCTCAACTACTGCATTGTGTTGAAATGAACTGTTACTGTCTGGGGTTTACTCCCAAGGTGAGCATGCTTAAATAGCGAGGAAGAGGCTTGTTCCCTTCCTTTTCTGTAGCCTAATTACTCAGGAAAGGAGTTGATCCTGTAGAAAACATTGTTTAATTGTAGGACTTGTAACTTACGTTGTTGTTGTCCCTTATGGAGTGGCACTGTATGTGCCTGCCCACTCTTGCACACTCGGTGTGACAGGTGTGGTTTTCACAAGTGAGCAAGAGACCACACTAACTTCCTTTTTCCTAGCGTAGTGTTCAAAATGCCTGCCTTAATCTGAGTAACCACAAAATAAACGTCCAAGTCTGAATCTCCTGTTAAGATACTTCTAGCTCAATTTGTTTCCCTTCTGGGTTACACTTGTGTCCAAATCACATCTTATGGCTTTTTAGAAAACTTTATCTGATGTGGTAGATTTCTCCTTGTGTCCCAGGCAAGAGTTGGCCTAAAGCAGTTCCTGGGCACATACTGTGGTTTTCTCTCCCAGGTATTTGATAATGCCACAAACAAGTAATTACTAATCCAGTGAACTATTAAAAGTCGATAATGGTGAAGAATAGAGCGAAGACTGGCTTTCTGACAAGCTGGTTTACCTTAATTAAACTGGTGAGTGATTAATATGGACAGCTGATCTTGTGGCTTTAATTAGATGCATTTAGAGTTTTGTGTGAATAAGAGATGTCTCGAACCATCCCACAGGTTAATGGCAATACAATACTCTTATCACAGGCATGTATCTTTCAAATGGCTCGGTAGATGGTTAATAACACGTTTTAAAGCTTGATTTGAAACTTCTCTTAATGGGTTATTAGAAAATATGCAAGGCAATGCCTATTTTATACAAAACTGAATTTTAATAAAATGTTTTTTTAAAAAAGAAACTGTCCAGTGATTTCATCTCGCAGTTTAGGTTTTTACATTGCAAATAGATTACAGAAAATTAAATATTAAAAGAAGTGTTTTAAGGGGATTTAAAAGC